AATTTAGCTGCTATTTTCAAAGTTGAAAACTTGAATGCTAGTGTGAAATATCTTTTTTCTTTTTTTTGCATTATAATGAGTCATGATCTAAACTTGTCAACAGTAAAGTTGTATTTAGTCGTTGGGAGTATTTTATCTGTTTTTGTGCTCCTCTAAATGACTTTATAGTTTATTTGTATATTTATTTTATTCGGTCACTTTTGCAGAATTGTTTGCACGAGGTTTACCACTGAAGAACAGAGTTTTTTTATCATCTGCTTTTGCTGGCAGATTTGTCCTAGAATAATTTATCAGATGAGAAATGCTTTAAACAGTTGGAAACAAGTGTATCTTTGAAGTTACTCCCACATTAGACCTAGGGACAGATGATGCACTTTAAGGTAATTACACTGAAACTAATTATGCTTGCCCTAGAAAGAAAACATAGCCTCATATTCCAGGAGCTAACAGAAGTTAAAATAGCAGCTTTTGAGTTCTCAGATTTCACAGTTTAAAGTCTCTGGCATGAACTACACGGAGACTGATATCTCGCGTTTACACACACACCCCCCCTTCTAATCTCAAACGCCTCTTTTCTTCCCATCTTTCCGTCTTTGTTTTTATGCAGAAGGCCTAAATAGTGAGCTTTTTATCATTGTGAGTATTTATATGTGTTTTAGATTCGATCAGTCTTATTTTGACCGAATCTTTGATATTTAATTAATTTTCACTAATAAAATGTAATCGATTGTGCTCAACTCCACCCCGTTCAGGCATACACAAATGTGTTTGTTTCACACCTCTGCTCGCTTTTTATTTCAAAGAGCATGTAAACAAAACCGCCAACCGCCTTTTCCGATTCGCATACAGTCGCAGTTATTTTCTTCCTTTCTTCTTCTTTTCTCTCTTTTTTTGGTTACAGTAAGACATTCAGCGCAGGGGGGAAATGAAAGTAAAACCCCGCTATCTCTCACTTTGCGCTTTATTATGCCGCAACAGAAAAACACTTAGCATGTAAAATGAATGTGGAAATTATTCCTGGGGTAAACTATAAACACACAAGTTACCCCTCCCGCCCCCCACCACCATCCTCCTAGATCAGAGTGTAATTGCCAGTAATCAGGTCTGTTTGCAGCTGATAAAACCTCTCTGAATGCGTGGAACCCTCTTTGTATGATGACTCAATTACGCCCGAAGTGGCTCATCAAACCTGGACCATCAGCAGCTTTAATAAATAAGGAGGCACAAACTTGCTGCAGGCGCATTGTGATTCCATTCATTCCATAATTAAATCCATTCCTGGCTTAACCCTTCTCCAACCAGACGCTACAGATGAACAAAAAGCAGGAGAGAGAGAGATAGAAAGAGAGCGGGTGACCTTGCAGTGAGACTCTGTGTCTTCATAACTCTCTATGTGCGATACGAGCACAGACAGGTGATGTGGAGAGAGAGAGAGAGAGAGAGAGAGAGAGAGAGAGAGAGGGGAAGAAAACAGAGAAAGGGGATTGGAAGGAGAGAGATTGTGATTCCATTCATTCCATAATTAAATCCATTCCTGGCTTAACCCTTCTCCAACCAGACGCTACAGATGAACAAAAAGCAGGAGAGAGAGAGATAGAAAGAGAGCGGGTGACCTTGCAGTGAGACTCTGTGTCTTCATAACTCTCTATGTGCGATAATTTTGAGAGAGAGAGAGAGAGAGAGAGAGAGAGAGAGAGAGAGGAGAAGAAAACAGGGAAAGGTGATTGGAAGGAGAGAGAGAGAGAGAGGGAGAGAAGGAGGGAGGGAGGTGTCTGGGTGGAGATAGAGCTGGAGGTCTTTATTTATTCATTGTTTAGTGCCACATAGTGCTTATTCCGTAATTACACTGAAAGTACAATCTAATCATAACAGTCATTCAGGAAGGACAAGGGCACTGAGTGCGCTTCCAATGTTTGCCACGCTTATTCTTTCTGATTTTTTACTCTCTATCGTTTTACAAAGTCTAGATACAAAGACAAGTCTTAATGCAAGCTAAAGAGGACTTTTAATAAAAAAAGAAAAAGGCATGCATGTTTAATAAAAATTCACCTGAAATGTTTAAAGGCATATTCTGGATTATGCAATTTATTTCTGAATTAAATACAAGAAGAAAAAAGTCTATAGGGCAACTGTTAGATGCCAGGGTTATTATACTAATCTTAAAAAAATGGTTACTTGAAATAAAATAAATGATTTGAAACAATGTGAAATATAAACATTTAACATTTCATTTGAGCTTCTTGCAAAGGAAACATTTCTCATTTTCATTTAGTTTAACTTGATACTAAAATAACTTACAATGAAATAAATAGTAATAAAAGCTATATAGACATACTAATAAACTGATAAAAATAACAAAAACACTTAACAAAATTGCTAAAACTTGAACTTAAAAATGAAAAACTAATTCAAATATTAATCAAAAATATTATAGTACCTTAATGATACTAATATGAGACTTTTTATTTTTAATGTATATATTTATATTTTTGTTTTATTTTTAACCATCAGTTTCTAACATTTAACCACAGAATTAGTTTTGTACTGCAGAATTTGTTAATGAATTCAAATAGTTAATATAATTAATATAATCAAATAGTTAAAATACATTTCATTCTTGATAACATATGTTAAAACTCAATTTGTATTTGAGTTTGTACGCTTGCCCCATAGACTTCAATTGTAAGTCCATAACTGTCAATGCATGTATTGTTTGTTTCTTTCTAAAAATGTATCTTCTAATCAACAGGATCCCACAAATATTGTCTCTAAACTTGTAATATAACCCATTTCTCTGCGTGCCGTTATAAAGATGAAGATGATTTGAGGTTTGATTACTAGCAGTCGTCCCTTGAGCAGTTAAATCAGATGAGCGATTGTGATGCTGATAACAAACGTAATTACCATATGCATTGTGCACTTGTCTGTTTGTTTGTCTTTTTTTCGGTGATGTTAGCATTCATGTGTTAAAGAGTAGAAATGCTCTGTTGTAATCATAGCTTGTGTGCGTTTTTGTTTTGACCACAAAATGTCACTCTTTTTTTTCTACTAAGAAATTGTGCATGTTAACACTAATCTTCTTTGTATGTGTGTTTTTAAGGGTCGCCGTGTCGTTTATTTGAAACGAATCATTGATGCTCAGAGGCTGTAAAGTGCAACTCTCTCGTTCGGCTCAGACGGGGCTTTGAGAAAAAGAGCAGATGGGTTAGGGCAAAGTGCACTGGCCGCTTACACACACGCAGACACGCGCACGCCAAATCAGGAAGCGCTATCTCCTTGGAGACCGCGAGGCCATGCACATTAGCGGCCTGGCCCTCAGAGGGATGCTGCCTGCGTGCAGAAGGGGCCAAGAGAAACCCCCTTATAATGATTCAGCAGATGATGGGCCGTTCAAGGAGTGGGCCGTCTTTCTTCTTATGCTAATGAGCGGGCCCCTCCTCGTCCCCGGGCCC